GATGTGGACCAACTTAACGCGGGCATCATGCAGATTGTACAAGAGGTCGCAGCAGAGCAATTGCAGGAGTCTCCAGGGTACGTTGAACAAAGGGAAGCTACATTGGCACAGAGCTCGCAATTGAAAAACTTACTCAAGGCGAGACGTCAGGCCAAGGAGAACGAGACGAAGTACCCTGATGAACGCAATATTGAAGTAGCCAGATTAAGTCGACAGTTGAAGAAGTTTAAGACGCAGTTTATTCAATCACTTATGGAAAAGAAAAAAAACCCATTGAGGGGCTTTGGGATGCGTGGAAAGCCAGGATTCTACGACGCCCACAAGATAGCGAGACTATTGGCGGGAACTTGTCGTGGGCCGCGAGGCCGACGGCACAACAGAGTGCCCACCTCAAGGGCATCGGCAGCAGAATGGATCGACAAGTTCCAGCTGGCAGGAGAAGAAGGTGGGGCACGAGCGCAACTGCTAGAGAGATGTGAAGAACCTGAAGCTTGTTCTGGATTCTGGAGATTACCGTTCGAGCAGTCTGCGGAGGAATCGGGTTTCATGAAGGCTTCACGCAGCGCACATCACAAACCTTCGTATCTGGAATGGATCAGTCCCAACGAGACCGACGAGATGCTGGACTACACAGCTATTCATGAGGACACTTTATTCATGGTGGAGCGACTCAGGAAATCCCTGAGGCGACTGGCGTCATGGAGAGTACAACCCAGCTGGTCGGCACCAGGGGATGTACTTAGAGTTTTAGCAATACCAAACTGGTATGATCGACCTCAGCGGGGAGGTGGGCTGGGACTACAGACAGAGGATGAAAAGATTGAAGCGCCAGAGTTTGAGCGGGTCCTTTACTTGCTTTGCAGCTGTATCAGAACGGTCGAGAGAGCACCCGCAGCTTGGCATCAGGCCGCGTGCCGTCGACTTGCGAAACGCAATGACAAGCTGGGCACGGCGGCGGAGAGACCAACCATGGTGTTCTGTGGGCTTGGCAGGTCATTCTATCGTTCTCTGATGAAGAAGGATCAACACTACGAGTATTGGGCTCATGGGGGCATATCTCACGGACGTCGAGAAGATGCAATGTTGGTTCAACAATGTGGATCAGCGGGGCTTCGAATAGCAGGAGTGGCACATATAACGAGGTACCATGACGCCAGCAACGCCTTGCATTGCGTGCACAAGGATATTGTAGAACGTGCTGTATCGGAATTGGTGCAGGAGGGCAAGGAAGATTTCTTTCTCCAGAGGATCTACAACAGTACGTTTGTGATTGCGGACGGACATGCCAGTGCACACATGGCAAACGGGTGGGGTGTACTTCCAGGTGGTCATGCTGCCACTAAGCTGTTTGTGAAAACGTACGGATACGGCGTCGAGTCCATGATATCGTTTCTCGATCAAGATCCATGGCAGAGAGCCTTGCACATGACAATGCCAGATGCCATCCAGTCGACGCACGACCAGAGGACCGTCGACCTGGCCACCAGCGCCTTCGTCGACGATGTCGCTCGGAAAATCATGGGGGCTGATCAATATCACATCCAGAGAGTTGCTTCATGGGAAAACCGAGTTTTTGATCACGGGCTAGAGGCAGTTGGAGGAGCTCAAAATCGGGATGAACAAGTCAACTTCGTCCAGGGAGCGGGCCCCACAGCGTCGAAGTTCAATCGAGCTTTTCATTCGAAACGTTTGGAACTTGAAGACAAAACAGTTCCGGCGGCTCGATATCTCGGGGGGCAACAGCATTACAATGATGGGTTTTCTGCTGAGAAACATGTTCGACTTCAGGCTGTAAAGACAGCTTGGTTCAAAATGGGGGCGTTCTGGACTATTACACAATTGAGTATGCGTTTCAAGGGTATTGTGTTTGCGGGGTTGGTCATCAATGCGGCCCTTTCGGGGCTGGAAGCTTACGTTCTCAACGTGAAGACGCCCATCACCAGGCAATCCCTGAAGCCCCTGCAGCAGCAGATCTATAAGTACGCACGCGTGGTCCTACAAGGGAAGCACACACACATCGTTCTGAACACAAAGTACGTACACCGAGTAATCTTGAAGTACAGCGCCGGATGAAGTTCGGCGGCCTTTTCGTCGAGCTCAGGATCAGACGTCTGAAGTGGCTGCAGGATATTGTTGCGAAACAGCGTGGTCATCGTCAGGTCATCGCAGCTCTGGTTGGACAGGCACAGCGTGAGGCTGCGCACTTTGAAGTCTCGACTGATGGCGAGGTCCTCCCCACGGCCCATGCGTGGACCAAACAGTTCTGGGCCGATGTGCAAGCGCTCCTTGAGATAGACGAAGGGTGGGAGCTCGACTCAGAACTTGAGGGCAAGTTTTTAAAAGATGTTTTCGGGTGGAGCCCGAGATGTTTCCTGAAAATCGATGTCGCGCAGCTCAGGGCTAAGGAGCTTGCGGTCTCGATCCCTCCTCCTGGGCCAGGACCGTGTGAAGTTACCCAACCTGCCGCCCCGACAGAGGGGGGGATCTGTAAAGTTTGAGC